GGGGGTGACCCAGGCTGTTCAGAGGAGGGCTATGGGGAGACCAGTTGCAGAGTTGGCAGGGACCATGCTGCTGCGGTGCAGTTAGGGCATCAGGCCGGTGGGGAGGGGAAGTGGGGGCATCAGGCAGCAGGGGGGCCCAGTTAGAGTGATCAGGTCAGTAGGCAGAGATGGTCAGGGATGATCAGGATGGCAGGGGGGCCAGTTAGGGCGATCAGGCAGGCAGGCAGGTGAACAGTTAGGAGCCAGCAGTCCTGGATTGTGACAGAGATGTCCGACAGCCTGGGGATCGGGTCTAAACCGACTGTTGGACATTCCCCGAGAGGTCCTGGATTGGAGAGGGTGCAGGCTGGGCTGAGGGGGAACCCCTCCCTGCACAAATTTTGTGCTCGAGCCTCTAGTCTATATATATAAAAGCCTAAGTGACCAAAGGACTGAAAGACCAATTGACCATTCGAGATGATACGCATTGATGACCAGGGAGCAGTTGCTCAATGCAGGCGCTGCCCCTGGTGTACTCCCACAGGCAACCTCTCAAGGCTGGCCAATCTCCCACAGTCTGTCCCGCTGGCCAGCCAGCCAGATCAGCCCTAATAGGGCTGGCTGGCCAACCTCCCATGGTGGCTCCCCCTGGCCACCAGCCACATTTGGCCCTGATCACCACGCAGGCTGAGGGACCCCACCTGTGCACGAATTCATGCACCAGGCCTAATTGTTCAACTAATATATATATATATTAACAATTTAAGCATTCTCTTCCTTCGGGATATCAAAAGGGTGTGATTAGTCCAATTTTATTCTAGTTTTTCAAAATAAAATATCTAGATTTCCAGATGTTTATCATTTTATGTAAGGTGGAACAAAGTTCTCTTTTTCTCAGTATTACCAATTAGCCAGTTATTTCCCATCAGCATTATCTATATCAGCTGTAAGGCTGAGGCAGTTTTACTCTTCAGGGGACATTTTACAATTGATACAACTGGGGCTGTTACTGGCATGCAGTTTGGAGGGAGGCAGGGATGCTACTAAACCTTCTAAATGTGCAGAGCAGCCCCCTTCCACCATAAAGATTTATCTGGCCCTAATGTTAATAATGCCCCAATTGAGAAAGTATGATGTATATGACTTCATCTTTAAATTGTAAGGTAATAAAAGCATCACCCGTAAATTCAGCATCCATATTTATACGTCTGTGACACTGTTTAGTCATTGACAGACTTATGAAAAAGATTTGAGGTGGCTGCACATGATACAACTGAGTTATTCCTCAAAGGTTATTCAATTATAGGAAGTTATCAGTTTGTCTCTGCACTTTTTAAGTTACAGAAATGGCTTCAATTCTTGAGATTGAGTTCATGGAATTCTTTGTGTGTGTTTTTTCTTTTAAGCACTTAAATATAATTCCAATATTACGAAGGAGAAAATCATCATTATATCTGTGGCTGGACTAGTTCTTAGTATATTAGTCATTGTTGGAGCCGTTTTCTTCATCCCAGGTAAGATGTGCAGTTACTATGAGGGAAGTCATGGTTGATAAGGTTGAGAACATTGTGGGGGGTGGGACTCTAGGGGAGAATCCATTCCTTGCTTCTTCTGTTTTCTGGTGTTTGCTGGCAACCTGCAACTCCTTGGCTTGTGGCAGCATAACTCCAATTTCCACTCTTAAAACTCCTGTGCATCTCTCTTCCAAAGACACTTACCATTGAATTTAGGCCCCACCTCATTAATCTAGAATAAATTTCTTCTTCCAAGAACCTAAACTAATTCATATAATGGAATTCTCATTCTTTGGCTCTATAAATTAACATTCTCAGCTTCCGGGAATTAGGGGGTAGGCAGATTTTTAGGGCCACCATTTAACCCACTGCAAAGGCAAACTTCATCAGGCAAGACATGGAAGTGGGAATGAACATGGGAAACAAATCAATCTGAAACTGCATTTGCCTTTGGAGGATGGGAATGGGATTCAGGAATAAGAGTATGCAGCACATGGAAAGAACAGCAGGGATAGGCTGGGACTCAAAGTGTAGATGTAGAAAGCCTACGTTTTGTTAACAAAATACAATATGGGTGTAATGTTTAGGAACAGAAATTTGGCAGTTCTCTTTGCAGCTGAAGTTAGTGAGGGTGTGGTGAGGAAAGAGATGAATTAAGAAGACAGCTACAAAGAATAGCTATTTTGACTTTAGGACAGATTGAATATAGCACATGAAGAAATTGGTAAGAGACTCCAAGGTAGTTAAGAAAGAGAAAAAGCCGATTGAAGGTTTTGACTTGTTGAGACTTAGATGTTGACATTTAGATGTCTTCAGTTTGGTCTTAAATAAAAAAAAATTGTCACTTATTTTGTGTGGGGTTTTAGGGGAAGCATTTATTTTTAAACATTTGCAGTTTATAAGAGTAGTATTGAGATGAATACATTTAATAAATTAAGTACTTTAATTTCCCACAGAGTAGAAAGTACGTAGGAAAATATTTTAAACGTTAATTTTATTTATCAACAGGTGAATATTCAACAAAGAGGGCCAGTGGACTTGGTTTAATTGTAGCTTCTACAGTAATACTAATATTACTTCAGATCTCTATGTTTATGATAGGTAAGTATTTGTTGTTTCAGCATGATTGTGTCCTTTTTCATTTAAAAAGCATCATTTTTTATTAAAATAATTCGTGCATTTTTTTATAATACAATAAAAGTTGATTTGTCTCCCTAGCTATTCTTAGTGAAAATTTCCACCCATATGGATTAATTTTAATGTTATATTAGGTTTTAACATAGTTATTTTATAAAAAGTGACTTTCAGAGATATATTTAATGCCAGCCAATGGATTTTTTAAATTATACTATTTAATTTCTTAATGATGATCTTCATATTCTTATTTCAGTTTTTGAAATTAGGAGTAGATATTAAACATTCTCATTATATTCTGTTGTGAAAACTCTCTTTAAAAAACTAGTTATACAAAATAGGGTTGTAAATCATAAAGAGTTATTTCAAATATTAACATTGAGTTTTAAAAGTTATACATTATGATTATCCAACCTATAATTGGTAACATTTTTCACTCTATTTTTGGGTTAAATCACTAAATATTTTTATTATTAAAGAATCTATTTTTTCCATTTGCACATTTAACTCTTGGTATGAGAGCCTATCTCTGGGTTGCTATATATTAAGATGGTATTAATTTGTTCTAAAATCACAATTAAGGGTTATGCTTGCACAGTGGTTCTCCACCAGAGTGATTTTGTGTGCATGTGATGAGGCCCTGCTAATAGCCACTCCTATGGTGAAATACCCACGTGTGGTAAAAGCAGCATTGTTCTAAGATTTGGGGTAAAAACTGCCAATGCAGCTCAGCTCCCTGCAGAAATGAAAGGCTGCTGAGGGTGTGAATGTGGAGCTGACTCCTGGAGTGGAGAGAGATGGCTTAGGTCACTGGGAAAGCAGCCACCACCTGACAGAGTCAGTCTTTGGTCCTAGGATACTGACCTTGACTGTACGAAATACAAGTGGAAGTGATTGCTTCTTAAACATGTGCAACATGCTTTTTTTTTCCTTGAAGCTCCAGCTAAAAAGAAGCTCCCCATCAGCATCATCTTATTGATTGTTCAGGTGCTGGGCCTTTTGATCTCTGTGGTCGGACTGAGCTTCTGTGTCTCAGGTGAGGGTCACAATCTATTCTAGACCCAATTTCTCTTCCTACCAGTAATTTCTCTTAGAGCTCTTTTTCTCTTTCCTTTTGTCTTTCTTACTCTGTTTTAAATACATAGTCTTTATTTGTTAGAGCATTTTAGGTTCACAGCAAAATGGAGTGGAAAATACAGAATCCCCCTCTACCCCATCTACTCACAGCCTCCTCCTCTATCAACACCTCCCACCAAGTAGGACATTTGTTACAGTCTGTTGAACCAACATTGGCCCAACATTATCACCAAAAGTCCATCGTTTGTATAAGGGTTCAGTCTTGGTGTTGATTTTGATAAATATATAATGACATGGACCATAGTCGTAGAATATCATATAGAAAAGTTTACCTGCCCCCAAAACCCTTGGTGCTCTGCCTATTCATCATCCCTATTCTGAAACCCCTGGCAACCACCAATCATTTCACTGCCTCAAAGTTTTGCATTTTCCAAAGTGTCTTATACTTGAAATCATACAGTATCTAGCTTTTTCAAATTGGCTACTTTCCCTTAGTAGTGTGCATTTAAGCTTCCTCCATGTCTTTGGGTGCTTGATAACTCATTTATTTTTTATCACTGAATAATATTCAGTTGTGTGAATGGACAATAGTTTGTTTATCCATTCACCTATTGAAGGATATTTTGGTTGCTTTCTGCACAGGGAAACGTATTGATTTGTTATCAAATTGCAGATCTAGACACACAATATAGAAGTGCATGTTTTTGTATGGACATACTTTTTCAACTTCATTTGGGAAAACACTAAGGAGTGCAATTGCTAGATTGTATGTTAAGAATATATCAATTTTGTAACAAATTACCAAACTGTCTTCCAAAGTGGCTGCACCATTTTGCATTCCCACCAGCAATGAACGAACATTTCTGTTGCTCTACATTCATGCCAGCATTTAGTGTTGTGAGCTTTTCATTTTTTCACTCATTTTCCCCCTACTGAGGTCAGTGCTTTCCACATTGGCTGATTGTTTAGTGGCCAAACTGCCACACCTATATTCATGGATGAGCTTTTAAAAGAACCATTTGGGTGGAGGTTTAGGCTTCACAGACTATTTCCCTTTAGTCTAGACTTGATAAGGTACATGCTATGCAAGCAACGGCTCTTCTTTCCGTACAGGGAAAGGAATTTTTGGAATCATTGCACTGAGTTAATAATGGGTATACAAATGTAGGTAATTTTTGTTTCTTTTTTAAAAAATATATTTTTATTGATTCCAGAGAGAAAGGTAGACGGGGAGAAAGATAAAAAAAATGATGAGGAACAATCACTGATTGGCTGCCTCTTGCATGCCCCCAACTAGGGATCAAGCCTACAAACCAGGCTTTGCCCTGATTAGGAATTGAACTATTACTTCTTGGTTCATAAGTTGATGCTCAACTGCTGAGCTACAAAGGCCGGGAAGTAATTTTTGTTTCTTGAAAATGAGAAAAATATTTACTCTTCCTAAAACTTAATGTTATTTCTGTTATTGATTCTTTTAAAAAGTTCAGTTATTTCATGTGAATTTCTAAGATAAAATTTTATTTGTTTTTGCAGAGTGCATCCCAGTGCATGGTTCTCTTCTGATTTCAGGCTTGGGTATTACAACCTTAGGGGCATTACTTGGATTAGTTTATATGATATTTGTTGGTAAGTCAGCTTTGTTTTTGTTAGTCTATGCCAAGAATTTCAAGTCTATAATAATAAAAGGGTAATATGCTAATTAGACCAGACAGCCAATGACCTTCCGGACATCATTGGGATGTCCTTTGGGACGAAGCTGCGGTGATGGGGGCGAGGCAGAGGTGGTTAGGGGTGATCAGGCAGGCAGACAGAGGGGTTACGGGTGATTAGGCAGGCAGCTGAGCAGTCAGGGGCAATCAGGCAGGCATAATGGTTAGGGGCAGTTAGGCAGGCAGATGAGTGGTTGGGGCAATCAGACAGGCAGGTGAGCAGTTAGGGGCGATCAGACAAGCAGGTGATCAGTTGCAGGTGATCAGGCAGGCAAGAAGAATGGTTAGGAGCAATCTGGCAGGCAGGCAAGTGATTAGGGGTGATCAGGCAGGCAGGCAGAGGGGTTAGGGGTAATCAGACTGGCAGGCGAGCAGTAGGGGCAATCAGGCAGGCAGAGTGGTTAGGGGCAATCAGACAGGTAGGCAGAGGGTAGGGCAATCAGGCAGGCAGGCAGAGGGGTTAGGGGCAATCAGACAGGTAGAGTGGTTAGGGGTGATCAGGCAGGCAGGTGAGTGGTTAGGCATGATCAGACAGGCAGGCAGAGGGGTTAGGGGCAAACAGGCAGGTGAGCGGTTAGAAACCAGTGGTCCCGGATTGCGAGAGGGATGTTCGACTGCCGGTTTAGGCCCAATCCCACAAGGATCTCTGTGGGATTGGGCCTAAACCGAAAGTCAGACATCCCTCGAGGGGTCCCAGATTATGAGAGGGTTCAGGCTGGGCTAAGGGACTGCCCTCCCCACACACATGAATTTTGTGTACCAGGCCTCTTGTATATTATAATTTGGAAAGGCTTTTGGTTGGTTCTTATAGCTTAGGATCAAGGAAATGTATTGGTAACTAATGAAAAGGTAGAAATCATGAGCTATTGAAAAGTTTAAATTATAGACTAGTTTAAAAGAAAATGGCTGTATGTTTTCGAATGCATAAACCTTTTAATGCTATGGAAAAGAAGAACTGGTTGAGGATTTTATTTATTTATTTATTTATTTATTTAAAAATATATTTTATTGATTTTTTACAGAGAGGAAGAGAGAGGGATAGAGAGTTAGAAATATCAATGAGAGAGAAACATCGATCAGCTGCCTCCTGCACACCCCCCACTGGGGATGTGGCCGCAACCAAGGTACATGCCCTTGACCGGAATCGAACCTGAGACCCCTCAGTCCACAGGCCGATGCTCTATACACTGAGCCAAACCGGTTAGGGCGAGGATTGATTTTAATAAATAGAAAAGGGTTTTTAATTAGCCATTGTTTGTGTGATAGAGCTCTTCACAGAGACCTACTTCTCACTTGCTCTTCTTGCAGACTGGACTGGTTATAGGCCTTGACGCCCAGAAATGGACAAGAATTGAAATTCAAAATCTGTCATTTTTGCTAATTAAGAGCAGTGTCCTCTGATAATTGACTTTGAAATATTTTTTCTTAAAAGCATTATACTATAATAAAAACATTGTTTTAAAATTTAGGCTTTTGTTATTTTTAAAATCAATTATTACTAAGTGTGGAGTCAACTTGTTTCTAAACTTTGTACTTAATCTGCCAAGTATCAGTTGACAGGCTTTTGTATGTTATTTTTTAAAAAAGGAAAGGAGACAGAGAGATAGAGATATCAATGATGAATGAGAATCACTGTTAGGCTTCCTCCGGGATGCCCCCACTGAGGGTTGAGCCTGCAACCTGGGCATGTGCCCTGACCAGGAATCAAACTGTGACCTCTGGTTCATAAGTTGAAGCTCAACCATTGAGCCACAGCAGCCAGACTGCATAAGTTATTTTTAATAGATATATAGATATAGGTGCTTTGAATAGTGAGTGCCTAAAGATGTTCCCTACAATCAGATTTTTATTAGTCTCCCTTAAACAACCTTTTTTAAATTTATGAAGTAAAGCAAGCTCTTAAACATTTATCAAAATAATCCAAGTTACAAATTAATGAAATAAAACATCAGTTTTTCTGCATTGCTTTAGGCAAACTTTGTGTTTCTAAAAATTCATACAAGCCTTGAATTGTTCAATTCTAATACTTTTTGAATTGAATAAATTCAAATAATCAAATAATTTTCCATATGACTTGCACAGTACATTCAAAGAAATTTTATCTTTATTTTTGAACTTTAGCTTTTGCTGACTGATCATGTAGTTCAATTCTGTTATGTATTCTTTGTCTCCCTTTAATTAATGCTTATTAAACAAATAGAGGCCAGGTGCACGAATTCATGCACCGGTGTGGTCCCTAGGCCTGGCCTTTGGGATCGGGCCAAAACCAGCTCTCCAACATCCCCCGAGGGGTCCTGGAGATCCCTCTATTCCGACTTTGCTGAAAGTTTTTATAAAAAATGGGTGTTACACCCACCAGGCATGGTTTGGTGTTTGAGTGTCAAACTATGAACTAGGAGGTCATGTTTCAATTCCCAGTCATTGCACATGCCTAGGTTTCACACTTCCTCTCCCGCTTTGAAATAAATTAAAAATATATATTAAAAAATGAGTGTTTGATTTTGTCTAATGCTTTTTCTACATATTTTCATATGGTCATGTGATTTTTGTCTGAATGTAATGTATCACATTAGTGGTTTGTGAATATTATGCCAGCCTTGCATCTCCAGAATAAATCTCACTTGGTCATGGTGTATGATTTTTTAACTATATTGCTGGATCCCATTCGCTAATATTTTGTTGAGGATTTTAGCATCTATGTTCATCAGGGATATTGGCCTGTGATTCTCTTTCTTTGTACTGTCTTTATCTGGTTTTGGAATTAGGGTAATGCTAGCTTCTTAAAAAGAAGTTGTAAGTGTTCCTTCTTCCTGGATTTTTTGGAATAGTTCGAGGAGGGTAGGTGTAAGTTCTTTGAATGTTTGGTAAAACTACACTGTGAAGCCATCCAGACCAGGACTTTTGTTTGTTGGAAGTTTTTTTTATTACTGCTTCTATTTTCTCAGTTAGTATTGGCCTATTCAGGTTTTCTGATTCTTCCTGATTCAGTTTTGGAAAATTTATTTTTCTAGGGATTTGTCCATTTCATCCACATTGTACAACTTGTTGACATATAGTTGAGTATTTTATTACAATCCTTTTTATTTCTGTGGTGTCAGTTGTTCCTTCCTGTGCTTTTGTTTCTGATTTTATTTATTTGGGTCCACTCTTTTTGTTTTTTAATAAGTCTGGTTAATGGATCATCAATCTTGTGTATTTTTTTAAGGAACCAGCTCTTGGTTTCACTGATCATTTGAATTGTTTTTTTTAGCCTCTATGTCATTTATTTCTGTTCTAATCTTTATTATTTCTTTCCATTTACTTATTCTGGGTTTTTCTGGTGTTCTCTAATTCTTTAAGTTGTAATGTTAGATAACTTATTAAAAATTTTTCTTGTTTTTTGAGGTAGGCCTATAGTGCTATTAACTTTCCTCTCAGTACTAGTTTTGCTGTGTCCCAGAGATTTGGGGTTGTTGTGAGTTCATTTTCATTTGTTCTTAGAAATTTTTTTTATTTCTTTCTTGATCTCATTGGTAACCCATTCATCCTATGTAATAAAGAGCTGATATGCTAATTAGACTGGACAGTGGAACGACCTTCTGGAACAACCAGTGGGTGGAGGACGGGGCCACAAGGCAGCTGGGACCATGATGGCCAAGGCAGCCATGGCCTCAAAGGCCTACTCTTGCATGAATTTTGTGCATGGAGCCTCTAGATTTTTAATAACATTCCATTTAGCCTGCATGTGTTATAATGTTTTTACTGTAATTGACTTTTAATTTCATTCCATTGTGATCAGAGAAGATGCTTGATATGATTTCAATCTTCTTAAACTTGTAGAGACTTGTTTTGTATCTTAATATATGGTATAACTTTGAGAATGAACCCTGAGCACTTAAGAAGAATGTATATTCTGCCACTTGGGAGAAATAATATATAAATGTCAATTAAATCCATGTGATCAGTGTATCATTTAGAGTCACTGTTCTAGTGTTAATTTTTTGTCTGAAAGATCTATTTAGTCAAGTTATCTGGGTGTTACAGTCCCCTACTCTGCTTTTATTACTGTCAATCTCTTCCTTAAAGTACTCCAGAAGTTTGTTTTTATATTTTTAGGTTCTCCTATATTGGGTGGATATATGTTTACCAGGGTTATAGCCTCTTACTGGATCTATCCCTTTAGCATTAGGTAGCAACCTTTACTGTGTCTTTTGATGGCCTTCATTTTGATGTCTATTTGTCAGACATGAGTCTTACTATCCCAGCTTTTTCTCATTTCTATTTGCATGAAATTTTTTTTTCCATGCCTGCACTCTCATCCTGTGTGAGTCTTTTGTTCTGATGTGGGTCTCTTGTAGACAGCATATAATTGGATCATGTTTTTGTATCCATTCAGCTACCCTATATCTTTTGATTGGAGCATTTGATTCATTTTTATTTAAGGTTATTATTGATAGGTACCTATTTATTGCCATTGTAATTCCTTATGTCTATGTGTCTCTCTTTCTATTTCTTCTCATTAGAGCATTCCCTTTATCATTTCTTTCAGTGCTGGTTTTGTGGTGATAAACTCCTTTCACCTTTTTTTGTTGGAAAAGCCCTTTATTTCACCATCTATTTTTAATCGTAGCCTTGCTGGATATATTAATCTTTATTTCAAATCCTTGCTTTTCATGACCTTAGATACTTGATGGCATTCACTTTTGTCCTATAGAGTTTCTGATGAAAAATCAACTGACAGCCTAATGGGAGCTCCTTTGTAGGTATCAAATTGCTTTTCTCTTGCTGCCTTTTAGTTTGTCGCTTTGTCTTTAATTTTTGACCATTTAATTATGATGTGTCTGGGCATGGGCCTGTTTGGGTTTTTTTTTTTTGTTTTTTTTTTGTTTGTTTTTTTTGCTTAATATGATCTTTTTTCTTTACCAGATTTGAGTAATTTTCTGTCATTATTGCTTTAAACACATTCTTTAGTTTTTGCTCACTTTCTTCACCTTCTGGTACTCCTCTGAAGTGAATATTGTTAAGCTGTCCTGTTCTTTAATTGTCTTTTTTTTCTTTTTGATTCTCTGATTGAGTGATTTTTTTCCATCTTGTCTTCTAATTCACTGATCTGATCCTCAGCTTTCCCTAATCTGCAGTGTATTCCTTCCACTGTATTATTTATTAGTGCCATCTCATTCTTGATTCTGCCTCTGCCTGTAGTGTGATTGATAATCAGTCTTGATTTGCCTCAGGCTATTGACCACAAAATGGGATGAGAGGTTTTCCAACAAGTCAATTGCTCCCCTGGATGGTAAAGGTCTGCTCCAGAAAGATGTTCACTGGAGTGTGAGGGAATGACTCATCACAGGAAACTGTGGTTGCTGTCTTCCAAACTCTAACCCCAGAACCCACAATCCTGAATTCTCTTCATACAGCTCTAGTCCATTCTGCCCTCCCTCTGCCAGATCCCAAGGTGAGTGGCTGCACATGAAAATTTGTGCATTAGCCCTTCAAGGGGGTTCCTGCATTTCCAGCCATCTCTCACTGGCAGACAGAAATCTTGCTGCTTCTCACAGCCAGATGTTATGTGGGCACTTTTCTCAGTTCTGGTGCTCTGGGCTGGGGGTCCCAGCTTGGGGTTTAGACCCCAGGGTACTCAATTGGAACCCCCAACATCTGAGATATGCCTCCAGAACTTCAGCTGTTGGGAGCCTAGCCCACCCTTTCACACATCTGCACTTCCTACCAGTCTCTATGTGGTCTCCACTTTCCATTCTTGGTTATCAGTGTTCTCTCCAGCTAGACTTCAGTTGATTATTCAAGATGTTTTTTCTGTACTTTAGTTGAAATTCCAGTTTGGTCCTTGGAGAGTGTCAGTGTAGCTTCCACTTACACCACCACCATTTTGGAAACCACCTCTGAATACTTTATTTTAAAATTTAACACTGTATAGGCTTAATTTCTTTCATTTATTAAATTCATTTTATTATTTTTTAATTCTAGCAGGTTCTAAGCAGAATACTATACATCCTCAAACGGTAAGTTAAAAATTCTTAAATGAATTGAGTTTGATAAGTTGATGTTTTCAACTGAGGAATTGTAACTGAGATATTAAAACCTTTTGCTGTCTGTTTAGTGTAACATTAAATTAAAAAAAACTTAGAAGTCATTTTATAACCTTTGCATAATTGAATCTAATTCTATTTTTAGAACCTATGTTTGGTCATTTAGTAGCAATGAGATAGAATAAGTGATTCCTTGTAATACTGCAGACTTCTCATATCCAGTATTGGAAAGTTTATGTGTAAGAATAGTGGTCATTGTCTCTGCTGAAGAAAAGCTGATTCTAATATATTGCCTCACCTGTTGTATTTATTTGATGTGCATGTACAAAACAGTATTTCAGGCTTAAAATGAGGAATAAATTTATATTTAAATGATGTTATTTTAAAAAATAATCCATAAAATAAATGTAAATATTGGATAAAGTATTTGTTCTGAGTTATGATTCATTTCCCTCATTTTATAAGCATTTTTCTTCCTCCAAACTGTACTGCTGTTTTCACTATATCTTGGATATCTTCTTAAGCTATTTGAGAAAATTCCAAGAAAAGGAGCATATTTAGGAGATAAACTAAGAGAAATAAATTAGGGGGATTAAAAGAACACCTTTATAAAGAAAGATTCGTCATGGTGACAGGCACAAAAGCTACTTTTTTTGCAAATAACATTGGAAAGGACTATATTGTACTCATCTTCCCATAAAGGATTTAATGGTAGCTCTACCTGGAATGCCACAGGTGAGACTCCTGTGTGGCAGGAAGTGGGGATTGCATATGCTGCTAATTCTGATGAGCCTCAACAGACATGCCTGAAAGGCAAGCGGGAGTAGGGGTGCTCTACCATGGGTGTTTATTCTAAGACTGGTGCCATAGCTACACTGTCACAAACACACAGCAGCTTTTCTTGTGCCTCTGTCAGAGCTTATCCAGCCATTAAATCTTAATTTGCATGACTTACAAATGGTTGTTTTGCTCTCATCTCTTGTTAACTGTATTATTTATTATGTTGCTATTTATTTTGGACTTTAATAATTTTTTCAAGACGTTAGGTTTTCTTTAACTGAGAGGGACTAGGTGGGGTAGCAAATTCTGTACAGAAAAAGAATGTTGAGAATAAGACACTCCTTAAGTGAGACTTGGCAAGCTTTCCTGTTTAACCTTTATTGCTTTGGTTTTAGACTACAGGATTCACCATTTACTATATAGTTTATATGTTAACATATGTAAATTTTAGTATGAAAGACATGAAATAGAGTCTATTTTTATATAAGTACTAGGGGCTCAGTGCATGAATTCGTGCACCTTGAAAGGAACTGTGGGCTGAGAGGCTGTGGTAGGCACAGGGGCAAGACTTGTATATATTTCTTGGTCCATTACCAGATCATAATTTGAACTGGTCCCCAAAGCAGTTAGAATGTTTTGTCTATGCCTTGGGTAAAATCTAGTGTTTTGTGTTTTTCTACCTTCACCTCTCTTTTTTTTTAATATTAATCAAGAAATAAAAATTTTTTGCTTTAATGTTCTCACCTCTGAGAAAAATGAACTGCTCTGTATCTCCCAAGTAGTTGCATGCATTAGCAAGTGATATTGGGCAAGGGGACTACTGCTTTCTTATATTGGCCAAGATGAAGTCTATAGCGCCCCCAGTATAGAAGAATCTCAATTAATTACAATTTCTGATTTATAAATTTTAGGAAGATATAGTCTCTCACCGTGGAGTGAGACCAAAATATTTCACTTTCTCCCTAAATCTAGATCTATATTCTCAACTAACTATTTCCTTTGTGGGGGACTGTGGGTATGATCCACAGAAAGGCATTGTAATTAAATGTCTTAAAATTAATTTATATTGACAGCTGTGGAATAGTTGGCATGATATTACTACCTAGTTGTTTATTTGGAATGATTTTTAATTGTGGAACCTTACTAATTGTTTGCTTGGCTTGTTACTAATTCTTGGTATTTAAAGAATTGAAAGGAATGATGAATGATGGTAAGTATAAAAAGCACATACAATTATAGATTGGTTAAAATACGGACATTGAAAAGAAATGAAATTGCTTCTTGGAAATATGGCATTTTAAATAAAAGGGACACTGTCAAAGCATAAAAGTTTACATGTCTTGATTTATAAAACTTAAATCTACTCTGTTAAAATTGCACCACTAGTCATATAAAATCTGTAGGGTGTCACCCATCAGATCTCCGGCCGTACTGTTCACAGCAAAGAGAAGCTACTGCTTTTTACAAACAACTTTCAAATGCAGTGACAGTTACTGTGAAATGGTTTTTATATGACACATAGATAATCTGGCACAAATCTTTATAATCTTGACAGAGTTCCTTGTGTTGGTGATTTTTTTGCACTTAAGCTATGGGGGCTTAATATCTTTGCTTTTCCACAAAGGAACTTGATTCTAACCTTCAGGGAAAGGACTTAGAAAGAGGGAGAGAGAATCTGGCTGGTGTGGCTCAGTGATTGAGCTTCAAACCAGGAACCAAGAGGTCACTGGTTCAATTCCTGGTCAGGACACAGACCTGTTGTGGTCCTGATCTCCAGTGAGGAGCATGTAGGAGGCAGACAATTGAGGATGTCTTTCATTCATCAAAGTTTCTCTCTCTGTGTACTCCCTGCCTCTCTCTCTGGGGATCATCATCAACAATAAATTATTTAAAAACAAAACACTAACTCTTCCCTGCCCTCTCTCTAAAATAAATAAATAAATAAATAAAAGAAAAATATTTGGCTACTCTAGATTTTGCTTTTCTTTGGAGGGGGGAGGGGGAGGACTCTGGGCTAACAATTTAAAAAATTTATTTATTAAATGTTTCAAACACACACATTTGTTAAAGAGGTCAGAGATATCGAATGTTATAAGTATTCATGTAGCTCTGATTACATTTTAATGTGTTTTTACCTTGTCAAAAACTTCATTCATTTGGTATTTTACTGTCATGACTTGATCATGCAAATAGTTCACTTTCAATTTTACTGTTTTAAAGTCTGTGACCTACCTGCTCACCTTTATAGCAAAAGTGTAGCATTAACTCAAGAGGCTGTATTCCACAGTACAATTAATGTTTGCATAAGAGTAAAATCACACCGAATGTCTGTTGGTGGATTAAGTTTAAAAGAATGTTTAGGCTGTGTTCAACAAGCAGGCACAGAATGATCACACTTTTGTTGCTGTGTGTCACAGCCTTTATTACAAAAATGCATGTTTTATTATAGTAATTATGGCCCTGCATAAAAAAATGTAGTTAGTAGGAATAAATGAAATGGTATTAAACGAAGAACTAGTGCCTAGAATTGTAGCATGGTTTGCTTATATTTTCATTCTGGTGTCTTATTTTTCTAATTTTTTGTTCTTTACTTTTCTATTGTGGAGTCATTCTTCTTTAGTTGAATAGAGTAATGAAACCCCTTTTCCCCATGGTCAAAAAACCAGTTATAAGAACCTTGAGTACAACTACCTTTGTTGATTTCCCTTAAGAAGTGACTTTTTTGAACCACTGTATGGGGAGATATAGCAGTTTTTATTTGTTAATAGCACATAAAATTTATAATGACCCTTGAAATGTCCTTAATTTTGCTGATATTTAGCTGTTCAGAATTTGTTGGTTAATTTTAAATGTCTGTCTGGTGGGATCATTGAGCTGACGGCTAATAGCATGATGCTCACAGTGTGTCTGCCTCATCCATGTGGGAGGTTCAAAGTAGCTTCCTAGGGAACATTTCCTCTTTGATTTATACCTAATCACATGTTTGTTTCACTTACATTAAATGAATGATACAGATGTAAAGTGAATGTGATGGAATAGTATTCTATATTCTATGAGCAGTAGCTTTTGCTTTACAAAATCAGCATCCTTTGGTTTGTCCTCAGCTAACCCAGCAAATGAAAGTGATCAGACCTGGTTGATCCTTACTCTCATTTGGCATTGCCCTTTCCCTTCCTGCCACGAAAATGGCTAATGATCTCCCTGCATTAAATCTGTGACTTTGCAAAACTAAGATTAAATGCTTTATTTTTAGATATTATATATCGGAAACAATTCCAAATTTTTAAGCTACATGAACTTATCTGTGCATAGAAAATAGATACATAGTAACTAAATGTTCATTTCTTAAATTTTCAGGATAAAAAGAACGGAAGTGATGGACTCTGACTTGCAGAGTAGTACGATGTGAAAGGAATGCACTGCTGTGTAAGGACCCTGACCTTGACTCACTCACTGTTCAAGAGAAGAAAACAAGAAAGGTGACTCTCATCTATAAGAGAAAGTAAATCATTGAATTTTAAATGGTTATTACAGTTTAAGTTTTTATTCAATTATTTGTGATTTAGTTAATAAAAGTATTATGATCTGTGTTGTGTGCCCAATTGAGATCCAGTTTTTTATTGTTATTTTTCTTCAATTAGGGGCAAAAGTAGAGTGGGAAACTTCCAAAAATGACACCTTTCAGATCCTAGGATCTGTTGACTCTAGGTCACCAGTGTAAATTGGTTCAAGATGAAAAATGATGGCTTCCATCGAACCTCAGGAAACTGAGGTTCACAGCCACTTTGGCAGTTATGGTGTTAGCCGGATATGGGTCTGCCACTTCTAGGTCAAGGACATAGCAAATTACGTACAGACAGGACTTTAGTTGGAAACATTTGTGTGTTGCATGTTGCTTTTGTGCGATGTGATACTCTTGGAGATCATGGTGATCATTCTTAGGGGTTGCCATTAACACATGCTTCCTTCAACAGATTCAGGGTAATTTTTTAAAATATATTTTTATTAATTTCAGAGGGGAAAGGAGAGGAAGAGAGAGATAGAAACAATGATGAGAGAATCATTGATCAGCTGCCTCCTGCACGTCCCCTACTGGGGATCAAGCCCTCAACGTGGGCATATGCCCTTGACCAGAATGGAACCTGGGACCTTTCAGTCAACAGGCTGACATTCTATCCACTGAGCCAAACAGGCTAGGGAAGATTTAGGGTAATTTTATTGATGGATGTCTTTTTCTTTTATTCACACAACCTTTCAACCCTGTCTTTTCCTCCTGTTGTTTGCTTCTGCTGTGCAAGATGTAGCACCTTTCCTCCTATTTGAACATGGTCTAGTGACATGGTAGCGTCATTGCAGAAAGGAGCCAGACTTGTTCTCAGAGAACTGTGTTCACACGTTTCAGTAAAAATAGCGATGGTTGTAACATATGTATTCCCTTCCTTGGATTTGAAGGCACAGTCTATGGTGTTTTTTCACTTCTCTTCTGATCTATGCCATAAAAAACCAAGATGGAGGTTTTAACTGTGTGTCCCCTGCATGGCAACAAAGTGTGTGTCACTGTCAGGCCAATAGACCAGCCCTCCAAAGGGTGGTTCTATAGCTACTGTATCTGTGTTGCATGACATACACTCATCATTTGTGTCCTGCCTCATATCCCCCTGACTCCACGATTGAAAAGTAAAGCAAAACCCCCCCGGTAGAAGAAAATTAACGTTCTGACAGTGTGATCACCTGGAGAATGTTTAGGTTATTAACACTCATTTTCCTCCTTTGTGGGTGTGTATTTGTATGTGCATGTGTATAAGACAGGCACATGCTTCTTCTGTACAAACAACAGTGGGTACCTACAGGCGAGCAAATGCTAATTCATGCTTTTAGCAAAAGCATTTAAAAACAAATATCTTTTTTGGGTGGAATTATATTTGATGAGAATATTTGATCACTTAAAACTTTTAAAACTTTTAGGTTAGTTGCCAAGTCTTTTGACTGCTCACCAATGCCCTCTAAAAATACTAGTGATTCTTCCTGCTTGTGTAATAATAAGACA